GAGGGCTATCTAGTATTTCCTCCTTCGTCCAATATAGGAAATGCATTAACCTTATTACATGGCATCAGGGACACCGAGAAAACATTACAGGGGACTTCCCACCTTGAAAAGGAGCACCTGAGTTAGGTTAACATACACATAGCAGGAGAAGTGACCTGAGGTATGTAACCCCAAAGAGCAAAGGAAGGAAACAGAAATGGGCAAGGCATTCCATGTCTCTACTCAGGTAGGAGAAACCCCAGAAATAGGGTACTAGTGACCTGCTAGTTTAGGGGCTTTGTAAAAGGATTTATGGTAGAGACTGGGGTGAGATATGGGGAGGAGATTGAGCTGGTCAGTCTGGTTGGCACAGGTGCCGCCTCTCAGTTTTAGTTATGTTCTTGGGTATAGCTTTCAACAGGGAATAACAAGGAACCAGGAACCATTACTTTCCTGGCAACCCTGGCCTCTAGCAAGGACACTCAGAACTGCTGTTTTGAGGACCTTGCCCCATCCGACCAGTTTCTAATCACCTGTTCTCATCAGTTTGACTCTCTGTACCTGAAAACATTAGCTACTGAGCCTTTGTATTTTCCAACCAATGATTCTGGCATCTTTTTTTTAAAGAAATAATTTATTGAGAATTTCATACATGCATATAAGGTATTTTGATCAAATCCATGCCCACCCCATCCCCTCCAACTCCTCCAATATCTCCTCATCACTTTTTTCTGATAACTTCATCTTTTAAATGTAGTCAGAAGATAAATGCTGCCTAACTTCCTTGTTCTTTGCTTTGCTTGGGCCTCTTTGACAACCTGTGGATGTCAGTGCCATTTTGTTCAAAACAGAGTGGCTAAAATGATTTGTTTAAGGGCAAAGATATGAGAGCCTCACATTAGTTCTTTCAGCTGTGCTAAAGCATCTTTCAATATTTTCTAGGAGTTGATGATTTGCTTGCTGAGGTGAGTGTTGACATTAACTTCTCTTATGGGAAATCCCTCAATTCTCAGTGGCTTAATCAGTGGAAGTTTGTTTTTCATGTGACCAGAGAAAGCCCAAGTTGCTGGAGGTTCCATCAGCAGCAAATACAAGAGAAGACATGGCTGGTTGGACAGGCTACCCGGGACAGGTTGCACAAAAACAACAGCACATTCCAGAGACCAGAACTCTGGCTATGGCCTTGTGGAGCTTTGGGTAGGGGATACAAGGAAGCAAGGACTGGTGGTATAGTTCTTGTGGAAGGGGAGCGCAAACTTTTTGATGAAAAGGCAAGTTTTCATGTCTACTACAAGTGTTGAAGTCTGAAAAAGCTCATATTAGAAAGGGTGACCTCTGAACAGGTCATTTTACTTATTACTTTTAATGTTTTATTATTTTTATTTTATATGTATGAGTGTATTGCTTGCATGTATATAAGTGCACCTGTGTCATGCAATGCCTGCGGTGGGCAGAAAAGGGCATCATATCCCCTGGAACTGGAGTTACAGGCTTGTTGTTAGCTGTGTGGGTCCTGGGAACTGAACCAGGGTCCTCTGTAAGTGCTGCTAGTGCTATTAACCTCTGAGTCATCTCTCCAGCCCTGAACAGCTCATTTTAAGTAAATGTTTTATAAAGCTTACACAAACTGATTGACTTCAGCACAGGCAATAAAGTCAGTATCTGTTGATTAGGCACCTTCAATGTGCAAAAATGTTGACCTGTCTCATGGAAAAAAGGAGTAGCAGCTGTCAACATGAAAGTGAAGCACAGCAAAGAAATAAACTTTGTATACATTATATGCAAACTTATAACATAATTCTAATGATAAAAAGTCAGAAAAGGGACTGGAGAGATGGGTCAGCAGTTACCAGCACTGGCTGCTCTTGCAGAGGACCTGAATTTGGTTCCCAGCACCCACATGGCAGCTAACAACTGCTATAACTCCAGTTCCAGGGAATCCAACACCCATTTCTGGCCTCTGCAGGCATTGCATGACACAGGTGCACTTACATACATGCAGGCAATACACTCATACACATAAAAAATAATAAATAAATTATATTTAAAATTTTTAAATTTTATGTGTATGCATGTATTACCTGCATTTAGGTAAGTGCACCTGTGTTGTGCAATGCTGGTGGAGGTCAGAAGAGGTGACAGTTGTTAGCTGCCATGTGGGTGCTGGGATTCAAATCCGGGTCTTCTGCAAGAACAACCAGTGTTCTTAACTGCCATCTCTCCAGCCCCATAAAATATTCTTTAAAAAGAGCCAGAAAAAATATTGGTAAATGAAGAACTTGTTTTACTTTGTATTGGACACTCTATCTGTAGAAATTATGAAAAATACAAAAGGTACAAAGAAAAACAATTCTTAAGTGTCTCAAATCCTGTCACACGAGGCAACCACTGTGAATAGTTTTCCTTCAGATATTACATATGCGTGTATGTTTGAAAAGTTACTTATGATGATAAAGTTCAAAACATCAGTTGACCTGAATTCACATATTTGTCATCATGAAGAAATCCAAGAGAGGGAGTGCCAAAATAAACTGTGTTTCTTTGCTGGGATCTAAAACACCAAAATTTGAGAAGTGAGAGAGAGGGAGAGAGGAAGAGGGAGAAAGGGAGGGAGCGAAGGAAGGGGAGAGAGAGAGAGAGAGAGAGAGAGAGAGAGGGAGAGAGAGAGAGAGAGAACAGATATAGAACCTCTTAATGCCTAAGATATAACGAGCACAAGCTGCTAATTGTATCTGTCCTGAACATGTAGTTTCTTTTCTTATCATTCCCTAGACAATAGAGTCCAACAGTTATTTACATAGCATTTATATTGTTTTTTAATTATTTTTAATCTTATGTGTATTAGCGTATTGCCTGTGTGTGTATGTAAGTGCACCCATGTCGTGCAATCCCCAGGAAGGTCAGAAGAGAGCATCAGATTCCCCTGGATCTAGAGTTATGAATGGTTGTTAAATACCATGTGGGTGCTGGGAATTGAACCTGGGTCCTCTGCAACAGCAGCCGGTGCTCTTAACCACTGAGTTATATATCTCCGGACCCTCATTGTGTTTTTTTTATTTAATAACCACACGATTAGAAGCATTTCATTTCAGCTTTAACATATTCAATAACAATTTCCAGAGCAAAGATACATCTCTTTCAAAAGTGGTCGTAAATTTTTAGGTTCACAGTTGAATTAATACAATTACAGTTACACAATATTGAACTCAGTGTAAACCCTGTAAGACATAAAATTGAATGAGTTTTTAATCTTTAAAAAAGATCTTCATTTCATTTTAACATATATGTTTCCTACAGATAGACTCATTTTTAATGCTACTAACACTTAGATGTTTGCACATGTGTCTCTAATCTCTATGTATCTGATTAGTACTAGTCACAGTTGGTTACACTCGGATCCTTGGTACCTGAGTATGGATATAAAGTTATTATGTAGATTTCAATGGTAATGTTTATCACCTCTACTAATTAACATGATGTAAATTTTTATGCTTCCTCCTCACATATAACTCACATTTTATTTGTTGGTTTTTGTTTGTGTATATTGTGTTACGTTTTATAAGTAGCCTAGAGAAGATTAAAATATAGGTGATGAATGTGCACAGATTATATTCAAATATACATCATCCTATACAAAGAACTTGGGCATCTTTGCTTGTGTGTGTGTATAGGGGGTGCGTGAGGGGGTCTTAGAATCAATTCCCTGTAGATACTGAGGGACAAGTATGAACATCCTTTGGTAAAGCTAGCCCAACCAAATCTTCCAGTTACCCTATTGGCCACAAACAGTCTTTTCTAAGTCTGGAGTAGTTGGAGTTAAGACACATGGTCCTGACAGCACAGAGACAGAACTGAATCCAGTGGACGCAGAAGCTGAAGGAAGCCACGGGTGTCTTTTCAGGGTGGCCAGCTTGTCTAGAGGACAAATCAACTTAGTTCTTTGGTGTCTCTCCTCTCTCTTCCCCATCTCCTTTTATTTCAGGTCTAGCAACAGTAAAATGATCCAGATTGATCCATCCCAAGAATGGGCAATGCAGACACAACTGATTTATTGGCAACATCACTGAATCTCATTTGCTCCAAATCTTCCTTTGGACTTCTTTGATCACATTAATTGAACTGTTATATCTGGGTGGAGAGAAAAATGTAGCAAATTATGCGGTATCATAGGCAAGAAAAAAAAAAAATCAGCTAGCCACCAGCCTTTTTGCCTAGTGATCGCTAACATACTACAATGTTGTTCCTTCTTTGTTCACGTCTGAGTCAATGCTCTTCACTGTTTTGAAAAAGAAAAAAATTTCAATAAGGCTTAGAAATGAAAGCGCATCATAAACAATTGGTATTTATGTTTTTCTACGTGGTTTTGGAAAAGTGCAGCAACGTAAGCAGACAATCAACCACTCACCCTCGGACGCTGCTAAACTATTTCCTGTCCTGACCAGGTTGCATTTCTAGAGAATATTTAACAGGGAGTGTTTTAGTTCTACAGATGATGAAACGAAAAAACAAATATTGACGCGAACACTACCACACTCTGCTCAAGGAGTAAAATATATCCTTTATCAAAAGGGGGGAAAAAATCCTGGCCAAAATGTGTCTAAAAGCTCTGCACAAACGGTCCTTGGAAGACGTAGAGGCCACTTTGGAAAGCCAAGGCCTGGACACTGATGTACCAGGCTGCATCATGGGTCAACACTCCAGGCCGACGTGGGCCTCCAGCCAGCGCAGCAGAGCCTGGACGCCACCCCCGGCCGCAGCTAGCTGCCGCTGGCACACGGGCTGGATAACCCGGCCAGCTCTTGGCCCCATGGCTCGTCTGAGCTGGAGGGTTTGGCTCCACTGAGACCACCCTGCGCGGGGCTCAGGGACTGGGCGACACGCGAGGGGAGGCTGGCGCAGAGGGACCCCGCGTGCGCCGCGGCGGTGAGTCAGGGTGCGTTATGCAAGCGCGGGTCGGACCGGCCCCCAGCGCCTCCCCGCGGTCTTTCACCCCGCGGGTTACGAAAACCGGACCCCCTCCCCCCGGAGCTATAAAGCAGGCGGCAGCCGCTCGCCTCCCTCGCCCTAAGCGCGCGAACGCCCGCCAGGTTTCCACGCGGCTCCCGCTGGTGAGCAGCGGCTGTGTGGTCCTCCCGGGCGGGATGGGGCGGGTTGAGGCTGCGGGCGGCGGGATGCGGCGGGATGCCACGGCGGGATGCGTGGTCCCTCGGCCTGGCTCTCACGTCCGCGCGTGTCCCGCAGGGCGGACTCCTGGGCGAGATGGAGTGGGTGTGGGCGCTCGTGCTGCTGGCGGCGCTGGGCAGCGGCCACGCGGAGCGCGACTGCAGGGTGAGCAGCTTCCGAGTCAAGGAGAACTTCGACAAGGCTCGCGTAGGTATCATCCCCGACGGCCCGGTCCCCCAATTCCTGGCCGCGGGCGGTGAACCCCAAACTCCAGCTCTCGTCTCTTTACCAGTTCTCTGGGCTGTGGTACGCCATAGCCAAGAAGGACCCCGAAGGTCTCTTTTTGCAAGACAACATCATCGCTGAGTTCTCCGTGGACGAGAAGGGCCATATGAGCGCCACGGCCAAAGGCCGGGTCCTTATTCTGAGGTCAGTGGCCTCTGGTCGGCGTTGTGGGGCTTGTTCCAAGGTCCCTACCTGGCTGGACACCCAGCCTTCATTGGGAACGGGAGGGAGCACCTTGAGTGGGGCAGAAGCCCTTTCCTGGCTTGACTCAGGATACTCCTGGCTTTTGCAGTAACTGGGAAGTGTGTGCAGACATGGTGGGCACTTTCACAGACACAGAAGATCCTGCCAAGTTCAAGATGAAGTACTGGGGTGTAGCCTCCTTTCTCCAGAGAGGAAGTGAGTAGTGGGACCTTACTGGGAATGGGAGATAATGTCTGGCCAAATTACTGGGTTTCTACCCCTGGGGTACCATTAGAAAGAATGACCTGTGGGAAGGACTGCAAGTGACTGGAACCCTCAGCCCTGTCTGAGGTTAGGGAGTGGGATTAGAAGTAGCTGTCTTCCCAGCCTAAAACTCCTAGCCGAGTGCAGAAGGACCTTTGAGCTTGGGCCATTTTCCCGGTCAGCCCAATGTGTGCAGCTCCATACTCCTCCTCACATCACCATTGCCCTCTTTCTCTTTGGGGGGAATACCTGAGACAGTGTTACAACCTGGGCCACCAGCAGAGGTAGAGGTAGAGACCCCTACTCAGAATGAAGGCCCTGTGGTGTGTAGAGTTGGGTCACAGCTCAGTGTTCTGCCTGTGGATGATGAGCCAAGCACATCCTGGATGTCAGTGGTGTCTCCTTTCCCCAAACACCAAAACTGCTGGGCAGGATTTTGAGAGAGAGCTAGAGAATGCTCAGCGAGACAGCTAAAACTTAAGCTATTTATAAGGATGCATAATCTGCGTGCTTTTTCACACCCCACCTCCGGTTTTACCTAAGTTACAAATCTAGAATCCACTTGGTACTAGAGAAAAATTTTGGACAGGGAGACATATCCTGGGATCTAAGAAATGGAGCATTAACCTTAGGGCAGGGAATCAGGACCCAGATGAATAAACAGGCCCAGAGAAGAATGTTTCATTATCTAACAAGTTTGTGAGAACCAGTGTCAGAAGCCAGGGGTTCTAGCTCCCAGGTCCAGATTGGGTGACCCTGAACTGCAGAGCCTCCTAATACAAACTAAGTTTTGCTAAGCACTATTTGCACTCTTCTGTAAAATAAGACCCAAGAGCTGGCTGTTCAGGGGACACTCTTCAACTGGTCCAGGGCAGACATGTTGCTTATGTGACTTATTTTTCTATGTGTGGCACACTCTTTGACTTCTTCTGAACTTGTGTTAGATGAAATTATAACCCTGTACCCCCCACAGACTGGCGTAGGGGGAATTATGACTCTGCTCTTAAGAAAAAAGGCTCTAGCTGGGTGTGGTAGTGCGTGCCTTTAGTCCCAGCCCTTGGGAGGCAGAGGCAGGTGGATCTCTGTGAGTTCAAGACCAGCCTGGTCTATACAGTGAGTTCCAGGCCAGCTGGGGCTACAGGGAGACCCTGTCTCAAAAATACCAAAAAACAAACAAACAAACAACAAAACAAGCCACCAAAAAAGGCTGAGAAGAAGAAAAGAAAAAAAGAAAAGTTTCATTTTAAAAATCAAGTTACATGTTAGTGTTGATTGATGCCATACAGATGTTGCTTTTGTCCTTAGGAATAGTGAGAATTATTTTAGACTACAGCAAAGCTTACTAAACCGGTTCACTTAGAGTAAGAAAGATAAACTTTTCTGATAATGTATTACAGGCATCCATATCAGAAGGTACAAGGTTACTAATTCTTTGGAAGAACAAACATAACTCTTCAGCATTTTGAGATATGTTCTTTAAAGGACTGGAATTTTGTTGGCAATGCCTTTAAGAAAGGAGTGTGGGGGAACCCACCAAGGAGGAAGTGCTGTCTCTTGGCCCTACCTTTCCTTACCAAACCACATGAGCTCTACTTTGACCTCTTGTATTTTGGGGTTCTATCTAGGATTGCATCTAGAGGAGAAGAAAATAAGCATTGAACTCTTGAAAATCATTGCTCTCTTTCTATATATATAATATATATTATATATAATATATATAATGAGATAACTGTAATACAGAAGGTTTAACGATAAATTCCTCCTTAGGTTGCCTTTCCAAAAGGAAGCTATGCACTGTAGTGGTTAAGCATACCCCATTAAAGTTGGGCTGCCTGAGGGCTGAGGGTGTAGCTCAGTGGTAGAGCAGTTGCCTAACATGCCTAAGGCTCTGGAGTCCATCCTCAGTCACATACACATACACACACACACACACACACACACACACACACACTCACAACTACTAAATCCCAATTAAACCAGTACCTGTGGACCACAGATTGTTCTTTAACCTTTATGTCCCTCAGTTTCCCCCTGCACAAAGTCGAAAGGATCAATCACAATACTTACATCATGGAGCTGTTGTGAGGTTATAATGTATGGACATGCAGAAAGCACTTGAAGAGTGCCTGAGACATAAGTCCCGTGTTTGATATTGTTGCTTCTCAGTTTACATCTTGGGTTAAGAATTCATAGCTTTTCATTCTAGGTCTGGAGTGAAAGAACCACAAAGATCTTCAGGTCAGAGTCTCTTACTTTACAAGTAAAGGAATGAATGTCCCAGGAGCACACATAGCAAATTGATGGTACCTAGTGACAGGTGCTAGGTATAAAGGAGCATCAACGGTCCCCATCCCTGTTTTCTGAGTATCTCAGACTCACTTGATGCCTCTGTCCTCTGCTGTATTATATGCCTATTTGGGGGCCTTGCTTCACAAACTGCACTTTCATTCCTCATGCTAATCTCTTTCTTCCTTGACTTTGGTCTCATTAAGCATGAAGTTGGACAGGAGAATTTTCATTTCCTTCCCTGGTCCACATATTACACTTTACCAAAGAGACGTATTTACAAGAAGGTAGACTGATGGGAGAAAATAACTCAAGGCAAAATTAAATTTGATAAATCTCTATAGTTGATGCTGGAGTTCCAGGAAAATTCCTGTCATTTTAAATCCTCATTGTAAGTTAGAAAGCTAGAGGCACAGTGGCTTTCTATGATGAGTTTATTAACTGAATGAAATAAAGGGGCCCCTTAGTGCTTCTTTTTCATCTTTTGTTTTTCATAGATGGTCTAGGAATTGAACTCAGGGCTTTGTACACATTAGGCAAGAGCTCTCCCACTGAGTTACATTTCCAGCTAAACCTTTACAGTTGAATATTAAATTTCAGCGTTAACAGATTGCTTGGGCATGCTCTGGACTGGCCTCTTTCTCCCCCAGTTCTCCCAGCACATTCATTTCTTCACTTATAAAATAAAAGACTCCAACCTGAAGGTCTTTGTGGGTTCTCTCCAGACCAAGGAACCATCTCTCCAGTCTGAGTCTGCATTTTCAATATGCTTCTTTGGTGTATTCTGACAGTAAAGTTTGAGAACTACTGGTCTAGATAACTGAGGCCATCAAGGTCTCAGAGTCCACTCCCTTAACTGGGCTGTTGGGTTATTGTGATGATCAGTTAGGAATAGCCTAGTTTGTCTCCTGGCTGGCTCAGTTGGATGCTTAAGCCTGAGAATTATACCAAGCCAGGTCTTTCCATCTGGAAGACACAGGTCTAGGGAGCCAAAGAGACATTTTCTAGGACCACAGCAGTTCCTTCTACTAAGCATTTGAGGCCAGGAGATCCCAAGCTCTCAACCAATCAGTGGTGGCACTGTGTAGACACAGCCATAGCATAACCCCACATTCTGGGGTGTTGAAAGGGAGTCAGGAGCTACCAGCCACATAACTCTTATCTCTAGCTCTCTCCCCACAATTCACTGTCTGCAGTTAGCTACTGTCTGGAGAGACTTGGGGGTATCTTGTTTTCAGAGGGACCTTGCCCAGCTGTGGAAGAGGAAGATAGAGGGCTGAGTTGATTTTTTAGTGCCTTGGCAGATCCTCTCTTGCAAATACTCCTAGAAGGGAAAGTCTGACCAAGGTTGTTAGGATTCTTCATGATTGAACTATTCTGCCAAAAAGAAACTGGAGATAAACCAAATCATCTCGGGCCTTCTTTTAAGTTAAGAACGGCAGCCAGGACACTAAAATTATGCACTGAAAGTTGCTTTCTTCCTATGTCACATTTATATTTTGGCAACAATTTTGAGGGGGAAAAAAAGCTGCAGATTTGCCAGGCTAATAGCTGCTTGGACCATGAGTCGAGGTAATACTTCAAAAGTGGGTACTTTTGTGTTTGAGGCAGACTCCTGGGATGCCCATGACACAGTGATCCCATGACTTCATCCACAAATGGAAAGACAGCCCAGATGCTCAGGAGCCTAGAGAGGGTGGGGCCACGGTGAGAGGGAGGCCCAGCAGCAGCCACATAGTTTCTATTCCTGTCTCATCTGCTGAAGAACTTCGTGGTCACTGCTGGGTAGATGTTATGAGTCTGGGACACCCTCCAAGCACAGCCTCCGAAAGCCTGGAGGATGCAGGGGTGGCACGTTCTTCTTCCCATCAGGTGGGGGAGAGCTGAGGAAGAGGGCTCCACATCTCCTCCTGGGCAGTGCTCCTGCAGGGTCTGGGATTGGGCTGAGCTCATCCTAGGCTGGCATTTCAGGGGCTTCCAGAGAGGCACACCCACAGGTCACTTACAGTGAGCACTTGAGAGGGCCCCACATCCTCTGCTGCTGGGGCATCTGGCGGGCCCCACTGCATTCCAACATGCTTCTCGGCATGGGCAGATTGTCCCTTGCTTTAAGACCTGGGTGTGAGGTAGAGACATAAAGCCTTTTTGTTCTTGTCTCCTCTGCCCCCAATTTACCTAGTGTCTGGAAATGCTTCCGTAGGTTGGTGTGTTGACTCTGGAGTTGAATTCTCTCCTGTTTGAATTCCAGCTCTACCCTGTTCTGTGATCCTACATAAATTATTTCATTTTTTGTGCCTCAGTTTCCTCATCTGTAGTACAGGGAGTAATAGAGTGTGATTTTGAGTCAGTGCAAGAAATACCTGAGAAAACACGAAAAATTCTAGTTCAGTGACTGGCACACCAGTTAGTACTCGGGAGAGCCCAGCCTTGGCTACGTCAGAAAGGTTAGACTGAAATGCAGCACTTGTATCTGAACATAGTGTTTTTGTTTGTTTGTTCTCGTTTGGGTTTTTTTTTTTTTTTTTTTTTTTTTTCTTCCTGTAGCCCCAGTTGGCCTCGAACTCACAGAAATTCACCTGCTTCTGCCTCTTAAGTGCTGGGATGAATATGATCTAAATTTTTCAAGTGCTCTGCTCTGTGAGGAAAGTCATGAAAAGGGAATTTTCTCTTTCTCCCTCTCTCTCTGAGAGTGTGGCAAGGGGCAGTGCTTGCATGGGCCCATGCACTTGGAGGCCAGAGCAGGACATTGTGAGTCTTCCTCTATTGTCTGCCTCGTTCCCTTGAGATAAGGTTTCTCACAGAACCAGACTACTGGCCGGTGAGCTCTCAGGATCTGCCAGTCTCCACCTCCCAGTGCTGGAGTTGCAGGCTCACATACCCATGCCTGGCTTTTTACATGGGTGTTAGGAATTTGAACTCAGGTCCTCATGCTTGTAGAGCAAGTGCTTTTATCCCCTGAGCCATCTCCCTAGTCCTGAAAAAGATGCTGGATAGTAAGCATCTTTTGCTCCCAAGACAACTCTCTTGCCAGCCTAGGGAAGTAAATAAAATTCCTAAGCAGGAACAAAGGTAGAGCCTGAAAAACTATCATTGTCAGATTGGTGCCCTCTAGCCCACTGAGGTAGGAAGATAGTGAGGTTGAGTGGATGGTGAGAGGCAGGTTCTACAGAGTGTTGGAAAAGTCATGTTGTGCTGGATAGCTTTAGTGTCAACTTGACACACCTGAGTTGAGGGAATTGCCCCTCAATTGGGGAATTGCCTCTATTGGACTGGCCTGTGGCCATGTCTGAGGGGCATCTTCTTGATGAGAGATGTGGGAGGGCCCAGCCCACTGTGGGTGGTGCCACCCCTGGGCAGGTGGGCCTGTGTTGCATAAGAAAGCAGGCTGAGCAGGAGCCAGGGGAGCAAGCCAGTAAGCAGCATTCCTCCATGGCCTGTGCTCCAGCCCCTGCCTCCAGGTTCCTGCCCTGAGTTCCTACCTTGGGCTCCCAGATGAACTGTGACCTGGGATATGTAAGCTAAATAAACCTTTCCTCCCCAAGTTGGTAGTGGTCAGAGTATTTTGTCACAGCAATGAAGAACAAACTAGGACACATGTCCTAGAGTTGGAGATAAGTTGGTGGCCTTTAGACGTTAGACAGAAACACAGGTGTTATTGGAGAATAGATGGTGTTGGAAGTACATTCTCAGTGGTCCTGTAGAAAGATTTTGTGCCATTTCTTGTCAAGGAAACATGAATGAGATGTCCTCCGTGCCAGGACTTTTCTCTATAAAGGAGACCAAGATCCTTTCTCATTTGCTTAATTTTGTAAAAGCTGTCAGGAATCTCTGTCTAGACCTTCTTGCTAAGGAAATGCAGCCAGTTCCAGGAAGTGACTGGTAATGAGTTGGGCTAGCCTCCGAGCCCACTGCTGCTCTCTTACAGCTGATGACCACTGGATCATCGACACGGACTACGACACGTATGCACTGCAGTACTCCTGCCGCCTGCTGAACCTGGACGGCACCTGTGCAGATAGCTACTCCTTTGTGTTTTCACGTGACCCCAATGGCCTGTCTCTAGAGACGCGGAAGCTGGTGAGGCAGCGGCAGGAGGAGCTGTGCCTAGGAAGGCAATACCGGTGGATTGAACACAATGGTGAGCAGTTCTGCCCAAGGGTTGCAGCCAGGCTGAGCCAGTAGGAAGGCAAGCATTGCATCTGCACACAAGAGAAAGTGGGTAGTCTGAGGAGCCTCCCTCTGGGCCAAGCCTCGGTCCTTCCTGACTAAATCTTTCCCAGAGCCTTGTCATAGGCCACGTGTAGAAAGAGACCAAAGGCTTTTCCTCCAAACCTTAGCACTTTCAATAAGCAAAACTGTAGGGACAGGTTTTTTTTTCCTTTGATTTTGCTACCCCAGGCCATTTATTTGCTCCTGACTTCAATACCTTGAAAAACCATTGTACTGGAATTACAGTTTGGGGGCAGGTTATGTGTCCCCACCCAAGGACTGGGCATTGCATACAACAATTTTATGTAAAAACATAAACAGAAGACCAACATACAAGTTCAAAAGAGAACTATGTCAGCAATGTACTTTATTCTTTTTTATGTATATGAGTGTTTTGCCTTCGTGTATGTAAGTGCATCCATGGAATGTACCTCTTGCAGTGCCTAAGGAGGCCAGAAGAGGGTGTCCAATCCCCTGGAACTGGAGTAGCAGATGGTTGTTAACTGCCATGTGCTTGCTAGGATTCAAACCAGGGTCCTCTGCAAGAGTAGCCAGTGCTCTTAATAGCTGAGCCATCTCTCCACTCCCAGTGTTCTTTATTCTTTAAGAAACCAAAGAGTCATTTGGTTGACACGCTGGGTTTCCACTGGAGTTTTTAGGGAGATCCTCTGGGACAACCATAGGCTCTTCTGATGGCTGTTGCCCTCACCTGACCCTGATTTAAAGCTGAGTAGTGGAGAAATGCGCTATTTTGAATTGATATTCACTCACTTCTATGAGGAATTGGGTTTCAAAATCGAAATAGGGTCTTGCAGAAGTATAAGAAAAGAACATTTCTAAGCATCTCACTGACCCACTATACCAAACAGTGTGATTTTAGACTGAAAACATAGATACAGAAATGCCACCCTGGGGCTGGGGGATGGGCAGCTGAATGTGGGACTATTGAAAGATTTCATCACCTCCGGTGTCACACTGAGCCCATTGCCTGAGTCACTTCAGTTAACCCTGGGTCACATCTTAGAAAGTAGGTACTCTTATTAACCCACATTCTACCAGTGAGAAAATAGATTAAGTACATTGCCCAAGATCTCCAATGGATAGCTGTAAGTTAGGTGCAAACTCAGATTTTTGTGACTCTGAAGTGCCTTAGGGTGCCATGTGGTGACTCATGACAAGGAAACAGCTCCAACAGCAAGGCTGAGGTCAGACTGCCACAGCCCGTATGTCCTTAGGTAAGAGGATGGGCTGGCCACGTGGCACTTTAAGATGCAGTGAGCAATGAGGCAGAAGTAAACAGAAGCTCTGATCCATGCAGCAGGTCCTAAACCTCAGCCCTGCTGTCCTCTGAGAAGTCAAAGGGCTTTAGAATCAGCTGTGAGAGAGTTTGTGAATTACAGCCATAGCAAAAGCATATAGACTACAGGAACTACAGGAACCAAGATGGCCTTGGCATTCAGTTCTCTACATAAACACCGGTCTGCCTTTGTGTCATTAATGGTTTTGTTTTCTTTATTTCAGGTTTCTGTCAAAGCAAACCCTCAAGAAACAGTTTGTAGTAGCATCAAGAATGTGAAGTTTCAGTTGTAAACATCTGATTAACTCTCACTCAGTCTTCATCTCTATTTATCTTAGGAGTTTAGCCCTCTTCAGCCTTACTCTCTCTTGGTGAACGTGAAAGCTTCATTGTCAGACATAATAATAGGCTTGGGAATGGCTGAATCTGTTCATCCAAATGTACATCTTACTGAAATTCCCTGAGAGACTATTTGAGGCTTGGGATTCCAAACTTGATTTATTAAAAATATAGTCACCAGCTTCCTATGAGTTGAAGTGTTATTTGTGGGCAGATTGCAAGTAGGGTGTGCTTTTAGATGTTAGAACAGTCTCCCTTTCCATTTTCTATGACCTTTGTTCTGCTCCAGTGCCTGATCTCCATTATTAAAGACTGGATTCTCCAAACTTCCTGAGAAGGGGGGTTTCCTAATTAATCCAGGGAGGCCTTAACACCAGCCTCTCCAAGGCCCTGTAGCCCAAAGAGGAAGTGAGTGTAGCCAGGCTGGCAAACCCAAGGCTGTCAGCCCAAGGCCAGAGAGGAGGGCAGGACGGCAGGCTCCCTTGTGGATGAAGTTGGGAGAGCAAGAAGCATGGGACAAGGTGAGCTCTAGAAAAAATCCTGCCCTACACTGTCTCTAGCATGTCTTCACTTTGTATTTCAGATGGGGGCAAAATGTTGAGAAACAGGCAGCTTTGGGTTTCTCCAGCAATGTTAGGGGGTCGGGCCCTAGCAGGCAGCACCCCCTAGTGGGAGTGTGCGGGGAATATCAAGGTAATGGAAGCATCTAGGACCACTCCAGCAGCAGCACTTGTGAGTTCTAGGGTATAACTGCATGCAGAGCCACTTGCCTTTCCCAGGGAGTTCCCAGAAAGCTGTTCCTCAGCAAGGTTATGGTACCAGAAGATCTTGGTTTTAAGTGTGATCCAGTTCAGAGACTAGCTGTGCTGTTTAGGTGTGATTATATGGTTTCTCCCATTAAGCATGGGAAGTATTTCCCCACCCGGCAGGATACAATGAGAGTCATCCAGTGTCTGTGAATATGTTGAGAAGCCGTGCAAATGCTGCGTATCACAGGAAATCTGTGAAAGGAGTGCTGGTATTTCCAGGGGCCATTGGAAGCGTTGGTTCCCTAACACCATGTACCTTGTTCTCCACTAAAAGCAGAGGGAAAGATGGGAAAGCTCAACTTTTCAATCTCACGCAACTTGACAGCTCCTGGCTTCTCATCTTCAGTTTGACACCATAGTGAGCCATAAGACAGCCAAACATCCCTCTAAAAAAGAGCTTCAATTTACCAAATACATGAACTAAATATGAACAAAGACACCTTGTCAGTTTGTCCTTGATATCATGATTGCCACACGTCTTACCTCAGAACCAAGCTGCCCCAGAAACTCCATGAATGATGGCAGCCCCTGGGGTTGACTGACTGGGCTTTGAGCCAGACCCTGTGTGATTCAGCCATTGTTTTCAACCTCCAAGTGTTGGCATGTCCCTGGGCTCAGTCTTTGACTCTGGTTTCTTTCTCTCTCTCTCTCTCTCTCTCTCTCTCTCTCCTCTCACAGAGTGTGTGTATATATATATTCCATATATATATCCCAACAACCCTGTATTTCCAAGCCAACTTCTTGGAGACTGCATCCAGCTGCCTAGTCTGTGTGGAGGCCTTACTGGGCTTTCAAGCATATATAAGGGCCAAATGAAACACTTGACTCTTACCCCCATTTTTCTACCTGCTCCACCATTCAGCCAATATTGGGCTAAAAATCGAGGTGTCACCCTGGAATCTGGTCTTCCCTCACATCTTTTCTATAAGTCTCTGCTCCACCCTCCAAGCACATTCCAAGATTATTTCGCATAATACTTCATTCGTGCCACTGGCCTCCAAGGTCACCATCAACCTTTTCCATTTCAAGCAGCTGCATACCTAATTTCTATTTTCATTCTTTCTCCTCAAAGTCTTTGTATAGCAACCAGAGTAGCATTTAAGCTAATGTCAAATCGATGTTCCATTGCAAACCTCCAGTGTTAACCCCCGAACACTCAATGAATTCCCTATGCTGGCCTCCCAGGCCTTCTTTGACCTAACCCAGGAACTTCATTGGCATCCACTGACTGGCTCCAAGGGAGCACCCCTCTGTCCTAGCATCAAGTACAGAGGAGGCCCAGTCAACAGTTTGCTTTGCTTGGCCCACACAGCTCTTCCTGTCCTGTAAGCGAGCCAGCCTCTTTGAACTCACCTCTTTCTTCTGCCTGCAAAGCTCCTTTGCCTGGATCCACATGACTGGCCCTTTTTTGCCTTTTGCTATTCAACCCAACTATTATTCCACAGAAAGCTTTTCCTGCATCCTCCCGCCCCATATCAATAAACATCACCCCACAGCACCCTGTCCTGCTTTCTCCAGGGTGCTTATTCATTCTAGGGTGCTGCATTATTTATTGGCTTCTGTTTAGCATTTGTTCCCCCTGCACCACCCCCATGAGATGAGCTCACCAAGAATGGGGCCAGGGCTGTCTGCTTTATCACTGTACTCCCAGTACCCAAAACGTGGCACAGCCAAAGTGGGTGCTGCAGAGGCCTCTGCTGGATCAAGTGATGAAGGATTGCTCCTGATCTCTCTCCAGCATCTGAGTTCATCCTCTCCTTTTTGTTTCTATGGCACTGCTTCTACTAAATGGGTCTATGACTTTTTTTATATACTGAAGATTGGACCTAGAGATACATACTTGTTAGGCAAGGACTCTACCACTGAACCATGTCATCCCAGCTCCATTTTCACTACATGGAAACAAACACTCTCTAATTGTTTCTTGGAAATTCCTTAAGATGTTTTCACATAAATGAATGATCCCAAGTCCTTGTGAGCCCAAGTTGGGAACTTAGGGTGGCCATGACTCTTTAATAGAAATCTGAGCCCTGAATCTATTCCAAAGTTCATTTCAGCAACCACAGGGTATGGCTGTATATGTAGGAACAGTTATAAATAAAAAATTATTAACTCTATCACATTAGAAACACACTTAAAAATTCATATTTTAAAGGAACCCATAGTAAGTCATTTTTCTCTAAGGAAAAAACATTATACTTAAATGATTATCCCTTAATTTACCAGTGCTGTAGTGTGCTCTTGGAAGTTGTATTTTCTTAAGGCAGGGTATGCTGGTGAACTGTCTGAAAGTAACTCCCTTTACAAGCACAGTGTGGCTATCTGGCTCACCTAGTTAACTGGATATCACAGATAGGTCATTCCGTTTGACAGATGTGTCTGTAAAAATGGCTCCCTTTTCTGGGAACAAGAAGCAGCAAAAAACTTTCTTCCATTCGTTCCTGAACAGTGACATGTTGTACAGAATTGGGTTTAGGGCTGAGTTGGCAAATGTGAAAGCCATCACCCAGAAGAAGAGGGATGGCCAGATGACTAGGTCCTGCTTGAAGTTCTGGATCAAGATGAGGAGAATGGTAATGATGATAGGACTCCACATGATGAAGAAGGAGACCATGAGCAGGAAGAGGGTGCGGAAGAGCCGGTAGTCCTGCTGGGACACACGAATCTGGTGGCTCTCGGAGTATGCCAGGCTCAAGTTGAGCCTTTTCCTTGACGCTTTTGTAATCTGTGAAAAACACAACCAAAACCAGAGCTACAAGTTACTGCAGATGTCAGAGATTTCCAGTTAGGAGCCCACTGGGGATGAATGTTGTTGGTTGTTTTTTAGTTTGTACTGAGGATTTGAAGCCCAGACGGATTGGGGTAGGACTGGAGATGGTGGGGTGCAGCCTGGCTGGGCACAGCTAGGACAGAATGTGAAGAATATTGTGTATATGAGCCTGACATGCCACCCTTGACCTTTGTCCTGAGGCAGGGGAGCCAATGGGTGTATCCTGACCATAACAGTGGCCTTCACTAACTTCCATCTCTGGGCCTGGCCCAGGCCCTGCCTCTCCTAAACAAATAGTTGCAGCCACATCAGCCAGGGACTGGCCATATTGCCAGCTCTATACATGGGCCCTGGATCCATTCCCTTAAGATCCCTGAATCTCAAGAGAGTAAGTAATTATAAAGCGTTATTCACAATTTGGGCAATTTAGCTCCAAGATCAGAATGACTTAAAGTATTCTCCTTATAATAGTTTTAATTCTCTAATTAAAGGATAGATGCTTAATTATTTCATGATTACATGATTGCTTCTCATGCTATGGGACATTTAGATCCACCTGTTTGTAATGGAGACAGGGTAGCAGGTGCCCAGAGAACCTACTTCTTCCCTCTCAAAGCACCTGACAACCAGGACACAAGGTTAGAGCAATCAGGACAGCTGAGCTTTCCTGCTGCTTCCCTGCCAGGTGCTAGGCATTTATCCCATGGGTTGTCATCTTTAATCTCCACATGTCTTCCCTGCAGTCATATCATTGTTAGTCTTGCTTCACGGATGAGCAAATTCGCTCTCAAGAAATGTGCTACTCATTGAAAGTCTATGGATAACAAATAGTAAGAGCTCCCACCTGTGAAAATCTAGTTCAGTCAGTAGCGTTAACTATTGGTTATATCTTAAAAGACTCAAAAGGGGTTCTCAGAAGGGGTTCCCATACTAGCCAGTGCCCCTACTCCATGCTGTGCTAGTAAGGGTAGTTCACCAGAAAGTTCTCCAGCCCTCTGTGGCCCAGGACACTAGCAGGTACCTGACAGTGACTGTGATAGACAGTGTGGCTGACTCATGGTCAAGTGCAAAAGAGATCTGGCCTTTTTTTCAGCACTAACAGATGCTGCTGTTTCCTCCTCATTCCATAATCCCCACAATTTGTAGAATCAGGAAGAAAATGAAGCACTGTAATAAAGTGTGTGTCCTTCCTAGCTCCCCATCCCACACTAGATGTCAAGGCTAGTCAGTATCTAGCCAGGGTTTCCAATGTTTCTGGCTTCTGGTGGAATGCCTGGTGAGCTCTTAGGCTAAAATGAAATGCTTCATTAACATCTGAGGATTAACTATAATCCTCAAAACCAGTCCTGGGGTTATGACTTTGGGAACTGAGGAGGCGCTGAGAGGTGGGGAGATTTGCTCAGCTTTCTGGTCAAGTGCAGGGAATGTGCCCCGTGCTCTTCTCCACTATGACACCACTGCCAGTCAAAAGGGAGGACAGTGTTTGTGGAATGTGCTCTGTGGTCACTGGGTACTTGGTAAAACACAAAATGTCTGTGAATGAAAGCTCCTAGAAAGAGCTGTACCTTATACTGAACCTTCCACAAGGCTGATTGATTAGAGCTTCAGTGATAGAGGAGGGGCTGGCATGTTGCAGTTTCAGAGCCGAATTATAATTTATCTTGGGCATCTGTAGCCCCCTTCATGGCCATTCCCCACCCATACCTGTGTCTGACCTAGCATCCTTGTGAATAGTATCAACCTTTTGGTATGTATTCACTTCACAGATCAAATTGCCTTAATCGCCATTCCTTGCCCACCTCTGTGTTTGACCTAATAACCTTGTGACTAATGAGTACAACTTTTGGACCAACCAAAAGGCTAAAAATATCATCAGACAGCATCTGGGGCCTATTCAGAGCTTTCCTTACTTAGTTGCAACCACCTATTTGATGTTTCCAACAATGTATTTGAAAAGTGCCTTGATTTATGACTTTATTTGTTCTGTTATTATAAAAACTTCATAAAGTTATCACATTGGAATATGGAATTGGGGGTAAGCTGAATCTGTGTCCTGGGCCATGGCCACTCATATTTGGCTACAGAATAAATGATCTCTTACCCCCTTTGAGGTGAGAGTTGTGTTTTTTCAAGTTAACATGCCTAATGGGGCCCACTTGAGACACGTGGATCTTGAAGGACTGAGAGGACCATGGATCTATACTTCTTTTAACTGTCTATGTGATTTTGGCTCACTAGAGTAAGAGAAAAACTAGTCCTGGACAGCTGCTTGGTTTGGAGTTTTCTCCCCAGGCCTCTTATAAAGTCCATTTAAAATAGACTCTTTTCAGAAGCCACATGAGCTTCTGAAGACCAGGCAGGAATGTTCTCCCCACCCGACACCCCTCTGCCATGCCAGGCCATGCCAGCTGGAGCTGGCAGTGAAGGAGGTTCCCACTGACAGAACTTGGGCCCCTGAGGGTCGAGTCTTCTTTATGGAGCTGAGTGGCCAATCATCAGTGTCCCAGTTAGAATTGTTAGACAAGAGACCCCACCTTCCCAGTGGTCTATCACTATGAAAACAAGACTGGCAGGAGAGTAAGGACTGGAGCAGCAGCAAGATTAACAGATGAAAGAAATCAACAGCTGGCAGAGGACAGGAAACCTTCCCCACCTGGGCTTCATGCAACTACAGAGCATGTGCAAGAAAAGCCTGTGATAAACACATGCAGTATCCAACATGGGACAGGCAAGTGCTATGTAAATTATCTGTAAAAGGTTATGAGACTTGCAGCCCATCATTTTTGGAATGTAAGCCTTTCCCCTACAGCTCACTAGCTCACTCCCATTCTCAGGAATGTCTTTCCTCTTAATAAACTGTCTCTGTTTCCATGAATAATTATGTGACCCTGACACAATTCTTTGTCCTGGAACACAAGAACCTGGAAAATTCAGCGAGTGCCCCCAGGGCCCATATCCACGCTTATAATGTGATCATAGTCCCCAGGAGTGGGTAGAGAGGGCAAGGCTTCATGTTCAGTTGAAGTCGATTTTGTTTCTCAACTAAGTTCTATGAGGAGTTTCCAGCTGAAGGCCATTGACTCACTGGTTCATTCAACAAGTATTTACTGAGTCCCTGCTATGTGATATGCTCTCTTAAACAGGCTGGATGCAGACTAGGCATGATGGCACATGCCTTTAATCCCAGTACTCTGAAGGCAGAGGCAGATTGAATCTCTGTGAGTTTGAGGCCAGCCTGGTCTACATAGTAAATTCCAGGCCAGCCAGAGCTACACACTGAGACCCTGTCTCAATAATAATAATAATAATGAGACTGGACACATAGCAATAAGTAAGGGAGTCCTGTCTACACTGCACTTTCCACTATGCTTGTGGACTGTGGGAGGGAGGAACAAGAAGCACAAGAACAAATGGCAAAGACACTGAAGCTTATCATGGCAATGGTTGCTGGGTGATCCTGTAAACCTTGTCCCGAGCTGCCATCCCTGACAGTCTGATCGAAGGTACTTAGGAGTCACTGGGAGGCTATTCCCTTGGGAAAACTGTCAATAGGAAAAATACCACTGAAAATGCATGGCATGTTTGAGTCACAAGGAAAGAGGAAGCAGAGAGGGCAGAGGGCAAACATAGTCACCGCCCAACACGTGGAGCAGCACCTGGAGGGAGATCAGCAGGAAAGAAGTACTAAGATGCCCATGATGCCCACTCTGAATCCTTGCCCAGGTCAGAACCAATAAAGAAAGTTAGAGTGGGGTTTCCCACCAAGGGTTCCATGGAACCCCACAGAGAGGTTTCATATGGAGAAGGGGACTCTGTGGTCAGATTTAGCAATGCTGTCTGGTCTGTTCCTTTGCTGGGGATGACCAAAGAATATGAGCATTAAAAGGCTTTGAGGTCTTGCAGCAGAGAGCCCCATCCAACTAGCTCAGCATTTCCCAAGTTTGTTTGGCCATGAGCCTTCCTAACACCCATCATCCTACAGAGCTCTAGAGAGCAATACAAAAGACTCCACTTTACAGCAACAGAACAGGGTGACAGGAGAGAGGCACTTCTCAACCCCAGAGAAGGGGCCCAAGTTAGTGACAGAAGAGACAGGTAGGAAGGCAGGACTGGTGGGGAAGGGCGGGGTGACAGATCTGCATGCGATGAATATGCTAGTGAACATTGACATTCAGTGGGTTGCATGGCTGTGCTCCTACAGGAAAAGTTTGGGCAGGAGAGCTGACTCAGTGTCTCTAAGTTGCTGAAATCTCCAGGGGAAGATGTCCCCTCTAATCCCTGCCCTAGCCTCTACACATTTGCCTGCTTCTAAAGTACCAGCCTGATAACTCATAGGTACCAAGTGATGGCAAATGTCCTAATGGTGAAAATGCAACAAGTTTTCCTAGTGGTACAGAACATATTTTTTTTCAAAATTCTTCTATTTTTACTAACTAATACTGTGATTTGCCTGACATCATATCTGTTTTTCTTTTACACAATTACTGAGGCATACTTGTTCCCAGTAGAAACAGGCCCACATTACTTCAGCTTGCCCAAGGTTACATGACAGCCAAGCTCCACTTGGACCCCAGTCTTGTGGCTCTTTGTTCAGAGACTCCCCATGGCCCAAGCAGAGAAGCCTTGCAGGCCTCACACATCTGCAAGTATATACTGAGTGCCTACAATAAACTGGCCAGCCTCTGCTCCAGGCATGGAGACATCACAGTGAACAGAATGGCCTCTGCCCTTATGGAGTGTGCAGCCAGTGGGCAACAGGGACAACACACAAGTGGCTGTACAAGCATAGAACAGCACGGGAGTAAGTGCTTTCAGGAGAAGCCAGTCAGGAAAAGATTGCAGAGTGACAGGGGATGCTTCTGTGGAAGATCTTTTGGAGTAAAGACCTGAATGATGTGAGAAGTGGTCCTCGCAGCAATCCAGGGAAGAGAGATCCAGGAAAGAAAATGGCAGGTAGCATAGCTCTGAGGCAGTAGTGTGTTGGGGTGTGTGGAGGGACCATCTCCAGCCTACCTGGACACAAGAGATGGGGGGGAATGGAGGACACACAGACACCAAACTGCACAGGGCTTTAGGTGAGGGCTTTGGCTCTGGTTCATATGTGAGGAAGAGATGGGTCTAAATTACTTGTCTGGTTCTTAGGCAATGTTTCATGGCTGCAAATCACACAGATGTGTCATACACAGAAGTTGTGCAGGGGTCTTGCAGGACTGACCGTTGGTTTAGATGTAAGTACTGGGAGCATGGTGAACTGCCATCTAAAGTTTGTTGGGGTGAGACACTCTTCCTCTCCCAATTCTGCAGGCCACCTCTGGTTTTTCCAACTGGGCTCTGGCCATGAGAATGAGATTGGATAGGCAATCACACCCTCACAGGAGCCCCAGGCGTGTAGGGCACACATGGAAAGGGGGCATACCAAAGCCCTTTTGACCTCTGTGTCTCAGGAGTGGACCCCCACAAGGGAGTCCAGGTGCCCACTGCCCATCCCAGCCAGCTCCTCTACAGCCTTAATTGCTTGTTCTTACTCCAAACCTTGGCCTCCTGTTTATTGTCTTGGAAACCCCAGTGATGCCTTTCCCCACCAGGCTCAGAGGGAAGGGTTAGAAGAACAGCCTTTCCTAAAAGTTAACACCAGCCTAATTTATTCATTGCTTGTGGGCAGACAGGCAGGCACTAGATGCCCCTTACCAGTCTCCTCTCACAGCAACCTCACACTGAGAATTATGACTGCCATTTGCAGATGATGGAACTGAGGCCCAGAGAGTGCAACTAGCTACCAGGCCACACAGCAAAGGGGCAGAGTCAAGACTCAAAACCAGGTGATTTAAATAACTCTTCAAAGCCTCTGTGTCTCTTCCCATGGCCCTTTGCTCTCTGTCATGCCCCTTACTCACCCTTCACATTTGGGCAGCAGTCAAGAGCCCACTGTAATTTCATAATATCATCCTACCTTTTGCTCCAATCTTTCTTGCTTTAAATTGCAGCATCTTTGTCTGTCTGTCTCTTTCCCTGTGTATCAAAGAATGTGACCTTCATTCTCCTGACCTGCCCCCATCCCCTGCCCGAACTTTGCACAGAGCATTCTTAACAAATTTCTGAGGAACTGGAGTGTTGAGACTCTGGGGTCAGACTGCTCAAGTCTGAGGCTGACACCTATACACTTTGTGACCTTGGGTAAGTTACATAACACCTTTGGATTGTCTCATCTGCAACTCTTATTGGGATTAAATGAGTTAGTGCTTACCACATCATAAGCACTGCATGAATATTTATTAAATAAAAATTGAAAAATGCAGCCAGGCATGGTGGTGTATGCCTATAATCCTAGTACAGGAGAGGCAGAGGCAGGAGGACTGATAGAAGTCTGAGGCAAGTTTGAGGGAGTTACAGGCTAGCCAGACTACATAGTGACATCCTATTTCAAAAACCAAACCAAAATAAAAAATTTTTAATTCATTCTATATTTCTCTTTCCTTCTCTTTCACTTTTTTCCTTTTAATTTAATAATTAATACTTTTATAATATCTAATATCCCCATCCCCCCCCCAATATAAGCAACTTTACAGTCCTTCATGCCCACCCTGAATTTGTCTCACACATTAGAATAAGCCCCAGGCTGGGGAATCCCTTTAGGGATCATGGGTCCTCTGGTGGGAAGATTCTAGGTAGCAAGCTGGGCAGTATCTCCCACAGAACCACAACAGGCAGACCAAGATGAGCTGGCCTGGACTGGGTTCTGAACATTTTAAGAAGGCTACAGAGAAAGGGCCCAAAAGTGAGCATGGCCTTTCTTCTTCAACACGCTTGTTTACCAGATGACCCACATCAGATGTTATTAACCCAAGATGCAACCACTGCATGCCTCAGAGAGGGCTCAAGGACTTTGACTGGATCTTCCAAAATGGGCATAAATATTCATGCATGTGTTTGCTGAGTGGTACTTGCCATGTAAATAGGACGCCTTTAGAAGCAGGAAGTAGAGACTAACCCATCTTTTTTATGTCTGTGTACATGTTTACTTTGAAGGTAGACATCATTTGCTTCCTGTGTCATATATAGTTGAAATTGACATTCCTGGGAGTAAGGGCACTGACCCATGGTGAAGGGAAGGGCTTCTGGCCAAGTTCTATTCTCCAACCAGGAGCCAGTTTATGAGTGTGTTAAATTTGTGAGCAGAACACGTAAGCTGGGTGTGATTTTCTATTTGTATATGATCCTTCCATAAAAAAAAAAATCTTAAAAAGTAGATAGTGTTGATCACTGCTGTGTTTGTGGAGAAACACTGAACACAACTCAAAAGTCCATAAAATGATTATATCATGTATATATGATGAAGGCCAAGCAGCCCTTAAACAATAACAAGATTAGATACAGGAAGTGATATGGAAAGATGTCGTAATAGAGCATTGGGCAAAAAAAGGAAGTTACAAAGCAGATAACATCATCTCATATCTAAAAAGAGCTATGAGCAGTGCCAATAGCCATCTGCATTTAACCTGAAATTTTGTGTGGTTCATCAACTTCCGTCTTACATAGCTTCATGCCTGTTTTCAATTTAATTTTTTTTTTTTTTTTTTTTTTTTTTTTTTTTTACTAGGTATCCCAGGCTAACCTCAAACTTCAAGTCCTCCTGCTTCAGCCTCTTGAGTAGTGAGAGTACAGGTGTGTTCCACTATGCCCAGCTATGTATAGCTTTCTTGATAACCAGTGGCCTACCCCCCAGCTGTACCCATGTCTCTACCTTAGAACATGTCCTGAGTTCTTTTGAAAGCAGGGCCTGGCACCCACCATGCCCGGCCAATTTAATATTTTTATAAGCTTGTATCATTTTAGTGATGAGCAAAAAAAAGTGACAAAAAAAGTAACTTATTTAGAAAACAGAAGTAAAAATAAAAAATTTTATTTGCAATCAGGACTGCCATTGCCTGTAACAACCTCTAAGACATCGCTGACCTAGAAGTTCTGAGTCTACTAGAAATACCCAGATAGAGTGAAGTTCAAAGCAGCACTTAAAACAAACATACCTGTAAAATTTTGGAGTAACTGATCACAATGACCAGTCCAGGTACCAGGAAGTTCAAAGTCACAAAAAACACATCCCACGAGATTTCTCCTGCAATGTTGGGCCAATCCAACGTGCAAACTGGAATTTCCTAGTTACGGAAGGGATAAAAGAACACCTCTTAAATGCTGGCTTCTTCTTTGGCCTTTAGCCCAGTCCTAGCTGTGGGCTGCCTGACACTGTCACACTGTGTTAGTTACATAGCTAGTATGACAGTAAATCCCAGAATCCCTACACTTGACCCATGACAACCCCTGGAGCTCCTGCTCCAGACCCTTAGAATAGCCATAATTATTATTCTTATTCCCCAGGAAGTCAACTGAGCCTCAGGGTCATAGGCAGGTAAGAGCTAGAGGTATTTCCCAGTGTGGGTCTTTCCACTTCCCTGGGGTGGCATGTGTAAAGTGTTTGAGCTTTTTCTTGCAAGCCTGGTGCATTTAAAAGGCAAAACTTACCCTGGGCCTGGTGGCACATACCTTTAATCCCAGCCCTTGGGAGGCAGAGGTAGGTGGATCTCTGTGAGACTGAGGCCAGCCTGGTCTACACAGTGACTTCCAGGTGGGCTGGGACTAGGGAGACCCTGTCAAAAACAAAAACAAAAACGAAAAAAGGCAAAACTTAACCTCAGAAAGGTCACAAAGACTGGAAGTCACAAACCACACACAAGCATTTGGAGACAGGATTGAGGTTCCAGTACAGTCATACACTTCTGAAGGCAACAAGGTGTGTGCTAAGGTATTGTTTAATTGGGGTGTTTAGTTGTCTGAAGTTTATCAGGCACATACATGTAGTCCAGCTACTTAGGAGGCTGAGGTAAGAAGATTGTTTGAGCCCAGGAGTTTGAGACCAACCTGGGAAACAGACCTTGTCTCAGGGATAAATAAATAAATAAA